GAGAATGGTACGGAAATCAGCAGGGATGGTGCTCCCACTAGGTGTTAGACTGTGCTATGAGCTCCCCATGTATTATTCTCAGTTCATCTCACAAGAATACTATGAGGAATTTCTCTCTGCGTTCCACTTAAATACCAACCATACATATATCTATGAAAGCTCTTATTAACACTGAACACTAAGACCGACAGCCAGAACCTGTGAGGATTTCCTCTTGACTGCAAAATGTATTGGAGCTGAATTGAGAAACATCATTAGAAGCCAAAGCATGCACTTTTTGTTTCCTGATGAAAAGCAAACAAGGAATGGAACCATCCTAAAAGAAGAGAGGGAAACTGGTTGTTCTTTCTTCATTCCCTGGCTCTACTAAAGACCAGAAAACTGCTCACTGCTTTTCAGAGGTCAGAGACCTGTTCTCTATCCATCATTTCCCATCAGTAACACCCTTTCTTTACTCATTTCAAGACTTCAGGTCAGGAAGTATAAGGGTTTTGTGGGGGGGGGGGTGGTGAATGAGGGTGGGAACTATTGGCAAAGACTATTGCATCCTGAAAGATAAATGTCACAAAGGTAAAAATGCTACAGAGTCCTCAAGGACCCTAAAGGCTTGAAAATCATGAGAGGCATTTTTAGAATAAAAGCTCAAAGTAGTTTCACACAGTGAAATCCTCCTGTCTTTGTAAACAGTACAGTGAAGTCATGTGCCCTGGGCTCACTGGCAGTGAAGCTATAGAAAGGTTAAAAATGAAAGAAAGGTAAATATTTATCAAACAAATACTAACAAAAGGAAAGCACAGGTGGAAATTTTAATTCCAGACAAAGAAGAATTCAAAGCCAAAAGCATTTAAAGGGGTAAAATGGTTGGCAAGAGGTATGATCCTAATAAAGTTAAAACTGCTATGAACATTTATATACATAATTATGTAACATCAAACTATAAACAGCAAAGCCTGTTTGAAATAAAAGTAAAAACTGAAAGAAGCACAGTTATTTGGAAGAACTGCACAGCATTTTTGACCTTTTACAGAACAGGTAGGCAGAAAAATAAATATGAGGGTAAGTGCAAATCATGTAAAGGGAGGATAAATTTCGAACATTCTCAGCTCATGTTCTGGAAAAAAAGATAGTTTTTTCATCTCCAGAAGATTCAGCACTAGGGTATCCTATGGATATAGCACCGTATAGGGTCACAGAAGTTACAATCACTTCTCCATTGTACTCACATAACTGGAAGAACAAAATTCCAGTGCAGGAGAAACCACATGCCCATATTCCTATCAATAAATTCTTCTAGACTTGACCTTGTGAATTCCCTAAGTAGATAATGAGAGGTATGATTATCTGCAAGTTAATTCACTCACTCAAGCAAATCAACATAATACCTGGGTTGTATCTCAGACACATCCCAGGTCCCACCACATTAATCAAAAATATAGTTTCCACTTCCCAAAGCCATCAACAAAATCCTGGGTTGGTTGGAGGTCTTCCAGATCCTCCAACTCATGAGATGCTAGGTTAGGTTTGCAGGATCTTTCCCTAAAGCGGTTAGAGCTGGACATAGCCATAGAGTAAGAATGGATTGAGCTCCTATTCAGTACTGTTATCCAAAACCAGAAAAACTAAGCTTGGATTTCAAGACCCATGGAGTTCATTATCAGTAGACTAAGCCCAAGGGGCCATATACTGGGTAGCCAACATGATAGAATGGGAAACAAGACTAAGACTTAGATCAAAGTCAAAGGGTCTAAGACAAATATCGTGAACATCAGTATTGAGCCATACTTAGGCTCATTGGTCTTCAGCTGAGAGTCCTGCAAGGCAGTCAGCTTGGTTTAAAGATGTAGTGTGGTAGGAGGCATAGGCCATAAATGGTTAAATACTGTCCATAAATGGTTAAATACAAAATGGATAACAAATCTTCTACTTCCAGGCATCCGTCAGCTCTCCTCTGCCCATGTAAGTATTAGTGAAATTCAGGTCATAAGGGATAAGAAGGAGGTAGCCAGAAATCCCTCACTATGCCCAGAATTTGAGGGTTTCATAGTATGGTGTATCTACATATACAACTGTGATTGATGCAAGGCTACAAAAGACATCTGACTCATCTATTCTTTAAGAGTACATAGGGGTTCAGATTTTAAATCTGTTCACAAAGAAAAATGTACGGCATCTATTAGGGTTTCTGTGTATCAAAATTTACTATATTTGCACTAATTTGCTGGCTGAGAAGGAAAAGCCAATTTGCATGGCTCCTGTCAGTCACATGTGGTTTGGAAATGCTTATGCATTCCAGATACACTCTGTGTAAACTGGAGAATCATATCCTATTTCTACTGGTTTGCATGCATGCATATAAAACTTGTTTTCCCCACAGTGCCACATGAAAATAAGTGAAGAACTAGCAGCAGTGATCACAATTAATTAACTCCTTTGTCAAAACTTCACAGTTCTGATAGTGAGGGGAATTCGTGTCCCCTCAGGTCTAGAGAGGCTGCAGCTTCTACTTTTTTCTGGTTTGCTTGTTCAGTTCTGTTCCTTAGGGCATTTAGAGGTAATGCCTCTGACTTTCAGTCAACACATGGTTTCTAAGCACCTACGATGTGCCAAGCCCTCTGCTAGGCTTAGAGAGATACTGAGCAGAATCCCCACTGTAGGGAGCTCAGAATTTAGTGAGAAAGTACAATCCATAAATAAATAGTTATCACCCAAGGTGATGGCTGCTTTTGTAAAGTTTGGAATATGTACCATGTCCTATGGAAACAGGGATGGAGTTCGCAAAAGCTTCACGGAAGGCAAATTCTGATGGTGAAGTATGAGTTGAAGTGAAGAAGGGCTGGAAGGCATTCAAGAAAGTAGGAACATTATGTGCAAAGACATGAAGCTCATCAAGAACACATGTTTCAGAGACCTGAAAGAAATTCTGTATGGCCTGAGGCCAGAGGTAGAGCCAGTACAGAAAGCAATTTGAAAACACATGAGAGACAGGCAATAATTTTCGTAAACAACGTTATTTTAATAGTGTATAGTCTTGTGTTAATATTTAAACATGTTTGTTTACTGACAAGACTTCAAAGTTGCAGATGAACTAGCTAACATTACACTGACCATTATGCAGACTCCCTCACTGTTTTTCCCTGTCTAGCACTTAGAACAATACTTGGCACATAGTTAGTGCTCAATTAATATAAACTACCATTACGTAAGGAGCCCTGGTAAAGCAGTGTTAAGCATTCAGCTGTTAACCAAAAGGTAGGTGGTTCAAACCCACCAGCAGCTCTGTGGGAGAAAAGACCTGGTGATCTGCTCCTGTAAAAATTACAGCCTAGGAAATCTTATGGAGCAGTTCTACTCATCATATAGGATCGCTATGAGTCAGAATTGACTCGACAGCAAACGATGACACCACCATTACTGTATGTGGGAGTTTGTCTCTGAGATGGCCTCCAGTGATTAATGCCCTTGTGCAATCTCCTCCCCTGATGTGGGCTGAACTTATTGACTCACTTCTAATGAATATAATATGACAGATATGAGGCTGTCACATCCAATATTAGGTTATAGAAAGACTGTGGCTTCTCTCTTAGGTGATCTCTTATGTGCTCACATGCCGTGGCTCTCTTTCTCTCTTGGATCACTACCTTCCATGTCATAAGGGCACTCAGGTTGCTTATGGAGGGGCCCATGTGATGAGAAATTGAGCCACACCTATGTGAGCACACCCACTGCCAGCACCCACATGAGGGAGCTTGGACACAGATCTTCTAAGACCTGCCAACAGTCACATGAATGAGATTGGAAGTGAATTCTCCAGCTTCACTCAAGCCTTGAGGTAACTGCAGCCCCAGCCAACAGCTTGACTTCAACCTCATGAGAGACCCTACACCAGAGGCCCCCAGCTGAGCTGCATCCAAATTCCTCATCCACAAAAACTGTGAAATGATATTTGTTGTTTTAAGTCCCTAAATTCTGAGGTAATTTGTTTCACAGTAATAGATAACAAATACACTACACTGTCTAATATTGTCTGTTCCCCATCACTCATCAGGGCTGGGTTTCTGGTATACCTGGGATGGTCACAGCAATACTAGAGTTCCTCCTTGGCGACGGAGCATTGCCGGGAACCCCAGCCCTTATAACTAGGATCCTGATTGTCTGACACCTCATTCTCTGAGGGACCAGGCTTTGTTATCTACAGTCCCACTCAATTGATTAGACTATTCACAGAATGATTCCAGCCCAACTGCAGCACAGATGATTGTGTTTGGCGTGCTCCCTCCCCATCCAGGGCTAACCTCGGACACACTCACACCATGAAGTACAGTCCCTCTACTGGCTGCTGCTGAGAGCCCAGTGACCGTCACAGCCACTCTGTCTCACAATTACAGATGTCCACATAAAGAGATATGTAGCAAATGTATACCTGATTCCCATATGTAACCCTAATTGATTATATGACATGTTTCAGAAACTAATTGTTAAACTTGTTATATACATAGTCCAGGTGGGAAGGAGTAGAAAAATATACATTGCTTAGGGAACATTGAGTTTTGGGCAGAGAAATTTCAGCATTTTATATAACAATGTTGATTTGAAGTCAATGGTTTTCTATGTGAAAAAAGATTTTAAGACCTTGTAAAGATGTTGAATATTTTAATAAAAATTATATTCAGCTAAGGAAAAAGGAGGAAAATATAAAATCCAGTGTGGCTTCCACAAATTGTTCTTTGCTTATTTTCCTATGCCTTTTTAGCAGTTCCTACACCCATTTTTTCCAGTTAGTGATTAAGCACCCACTGTGTGAGTTGGAATTGACTCGATGGCAATGGGTTTGGTTTTTTTAAGGGTACACACACACTATGTACCAAAATGATAGCAGTGATCATGACCACAACACAACAAAAAAAAAGAGAGAGAGAGAGACAGGAGGGAGGGAGGGAAGGAAGGAGGGAAGGAGTGAGGGAAGGGAGGGAGGAAGAAAGGAAGGAAAGGGGACTTTGTACCTCTGTCCCTGATAATCTTGCCCCTTGTGCTTGGGGATGCAGTTATTGGGAGCTGCAGGGCTGATGTGGGAGGATGTCCTTAGAGCCACCGCTGAGATGCCCACCAATGGGGATGAGAAATTCAGCAGCACTGAGGTGGTATGGTGGGAGAGGACATTTGGGTGATGGGTCACATTGATAACCAGTGGGTTATGCTGGCATGACAGTTGGTAGGTTCCTGAAGAGAAATAAGGAGATGAATAATATTTTCAAGCCATTCATCTAGCACCATGTTTCGATAGCTAGTATTCATTCTATCTTCTCAATAGCTGTGGGATGTATACAAGGTCCCCAACAATAGACGAGACAGATAGCAAGCTGATTCCTAAGTTGATTAGGTTGTCCCATAGTGGCCCTAGAGGTATAATTGTCAAACTCACCAAGAGAGTGGTTGCTTCCACTGACATCAGTTAGCTGGAGGGTCACTGTTGGCCGTTGATGCTCGCCAGGGACCAGGCCATCAGTTGTTAAGAAAATGAAAATTGCTGTGGCCACTCCTGGTTTATTGAAACACACCTAGGCATAAGTACATATATATACATATGAGCTGTTATTTCCACGGGGCTATCAAGCCATGTGACACACTGTTTATTCTTCTCAGATACCTCACATTCATAAAGTAACAGCTTCCTTCTTCTTTATAAACGAGAAAAATTTGGAATAGGCTCAGAAAGGCATCCAAGGTCACACCAAAAATCGAGGTGAGTTGAAAAGAAGATAACTTCTAGCTACTGAACTTTCCATATTTTTCTAAGACTGCTTACCTGAACTATCTCTTGTTTACTTGGACTTGTCTTATTTTAAATTTCTCAGAAAGAGCATCGCCGGAGACAATAAACCATCCATCTAACCATCCAAGACCCCCTTATCTCCACAGTGAAGGAAGTGGACATGGTGATCACCAAGCTAACATCTAGCTGGGATCTATTCCAAGCTCTGCATTGCCATAACTGGTTATCCCTTTTCCTTCTGCTAAAGTTTGCATCAGAGCCTCCCCTTAGCATACACACACAGAGGGGGCGCTATTGCAGAGTCTGTTGCTTCTGAGATTACAAGCTGTCAAGCTGTTTGGTCTTACGCAGTTCTCCTGGTGTCTAAGTACATAACCCTGTCCATGGCTGAAAAATGAACTAACACTGAGGCACAGAAAAATTTAATCATTTATCAGGAATACTCCTAGATGGCTAGGCTGATTAACACTAAAACAGACTTTCAAAGTATGCAATGAAAGTTTTGTCCCTGGAAATTCTTCAGTATAAAGGAAAGCACCTCAGAGTTTGGGGGAGAAACAAGGTGACCTGGAGAGCTTATTTCTCACACTGAAATTATTGGATGCGGTATTTCAGGTTTGGTTTTATTTCTTAGAGCTCAACATTGCTCTTAATTTCTGTTGAGAGCAAACCCCCAACCTTCCCTAGTGCTACATGCTTTAATCAGAACCCAGCACAGACCCTTACAAAGTTCTATGTACATTTCTGTAGCTTTTTACTCAGGTTCCAAGGCTGATGAAGCGGCAGGAAAATTGTCCTCAGTGTTAAAGCAGGGTATAGCATCTAACGGCAGGGACCTCCTCTAAAAGTGGGGAGCAGGAGAGTTAAACAGGTTTTCCTTTTTAATGAGAATTCTCCCTTGTCTGCAGACTGACTTCTGAGTCTTGGTGTGTTTATAGAGTGTCTGTTTGCACTGCTTGCTTAATTAGGGTGATTTTATGACTTGCAGTGGTTGAAGTAGCACAGCTCTCCCTTCTTTCTCTACTGCTTTGAGGGAAAGACCAGCCACAGTCTTTTTTTACAGTGTCTTTTATCCCCCTTTTCATTTCCCCTCTTTGAAGTAATAAATATTCCTTCATAACTTAAGACCTCCAGGCCCATAGGTTATGGCTTGTAATTCGAGGTCCTTTGTCCCTGGCTGGATGAGAGCTAGACATGAAACACGTCATAAGGTAACCAAGAACCTAACTCAAAGCCTTCAACTACAGAAGCAAATGACATCAAAGTCCCCTGGGAACTCCCATAACCTCTTCCTTTTCGTATACCACAAAAGAGACCTGAGTCCTGGAAGAAAGTTCTGGGTTGTTTCCTGAGCCAGGAAGAGACAGAGTCCAAACAAGTACCTGGTGGCTTTACCCCAGTAGGACTCAGAGCTGAAGAGTGGGATGGTTTCAATAAGGAACAGGAAAGCTCAGTCTTTCTAATCTTCTGTTGGGTCCCAAAATAGACACCACCCAGCTGGAGCTAGTTAGTAGAGGTAGGTCTTATGATGTGGATTTCTCTGACTCGAGGGCCCACACTCAAGACCTCCAACTCACTTTCCATCTCCTAGCAATTCCCCTCATTGCTCTAAGAGTCTTTGAATACCAAGTGACTTTGAACTGCAAAGCCTGCTCATGGTGGCAATGAGTCTGTGCCTTGATTTGTGGGAAGCAGCTAGGCCAGAATTTCCAGGCCATGTCTTAAGTAGGAAAACCACAGGTAAGACTTAAAACGAGACAGGCAGAGGAATGCTGAGCCACACAAAACAGAGACTAGGGCCTGATCAAGCTACAGAATGCCGAGACTTGAGTATTTCCTCTCACAGGGGCACAGGAAACACAGCCAAGTTTCATTCTTATCTGAACACCAAATATGCCCCCACAGCAGCAACTAGAAGCACAGGAAAGTATAAACTGTCTCATGCAACTATCAGAGCCTTAAAAGCAGAAAGTAATTTGAATCTGCACATATGAGCATAATGGATATGAACAGGGGTAAAAAGAACTGGTGAGCACTGATGATTCAGTGGTAGAATTCCCGCTTTCCATGCAGGAGACCCCAGTTCAATTCTGGGCCAATGCACCTCATGCTCAGCCACCACCCATCTCTCAGTGGAGGCTTGCATGTTGCTATAATGCTGAATAGGTTTCAGCAGAGCTTCCAGATTAAGACAGGCTAAGAAGAAAGGCCTGGGGATCTACTTCTGAAAATCGGCTAGTGAAAACCCTTGGATCACAAGTCTGATCCATAACTGATCCTGGGGATGGCGCAGGACTGGGCAGCATTTCATTCAGTAGTGCACTGGGTCACCATGAGTTGGGAGTTGACTAGATGGCCGCTAATGACAACAACAAAAGGAAATGAGTAAATTCACAGTTCTGGAGATACATTTGGCCAGTTAGAAGCTCTGCATTTGCATTCTTGGATCTACCGGTACTAGCTCGGCAAATCTGAGCAATCCATTTCTCCTCTCGGAGTCCCGGGTTCCTCTTTCACTCATCTGAGATATAGAGATTACCTATTTTATCTGGTTACTGTAAGGACTAAATGACACCACATAGGGCAGTGCCTATTGTATTATAAGGACTCAACATTCAGTAATTCTTATTCCCCAAAAGAAATAGTTTTTATCCTGTTTACACTTCAGACAGGAGAAGGAATAAAATTAAAAAATTAAATATTCAGCTGTGTATTTTGATATATAAAGAATTATGCTTTTCTGGAATTTATAGACTACAAAAACTTCACACACACGCTATTTTAAATTGGCACTCGTAGAAATGTGAACTGGTACTCCAGGTTTTGCTTCCACAGAAACTGACAATATTTGAAGCTCTTGGTATAGGACATACCTCTACTTTAAAAACAAAATCTATGAAAAAATACATTTTATATACAGAAAATTCAGTTCAACATGTGCTTGTTAAAGACCTACTACTGTTTAAAATATATACATGGAAACTTCTAGAATCAAGTGTTGATTAGAAAACTAAACGTGTGTTCCTTATTCAAACAAAGATGATATTTTTAGAAGTTACTCTTTCTAAGACTCAGTCATAGCTATTTTAATATATGTAATGTTGTTGTGTGCCATCAAGCCAATTCCAACTCATAGCAACCCTATATGACAGAGTAGAATTGCCCCATGGGGTTTTCTAACTTATAATCTCTACAGAAGAAGATCATCAAGTTTTTTCTCCCTAGGAGCAGCTGGTGGGTTCAAATTGCTGACCTTTCAGTTAGCAGCCAAATGCTTAACCACTGCTCTACCAGCACTCCTTGGTATATGTAATAGTCCAGACTGTTTTTACTTTAAACGAAATAATAAATTTTATATTCCTAGAAGTAAAAGATAGCAGTAGTTGGAGAAGGAGCAATGGCAACATGAAGCGCTAGTCTACCCCCATGCCACCTCTGCCACTACAAGCGTGACACTCTACACCAAATGCATCATACGAACAGATGCCCCCTGCAGGACGAAACACACGGGATGCACCTCTAGGGGTCTACTCAGATCAGAGATATGGGCCATGAATGCCAGATAAAAAACCCCAAAGTGCTAGAAGGTGAAAAAGATCTTTAGTTTTATCAGTAATGCTTTATTATTTATTTTAACAAGGAGATTGTATTTATGTATTACTCAGGCAATTTAAATTTAATTTGAACATGGCTCTTACAAAGAAAAAACGAAACAAAACTATGGCCAGATATAAGGAAGGAGGTAAGGCCTTTTAGAAAGTAAAGTATTTCTCCAGGAGGAACCATTCGAGATAGAGGGATTGCCAATGAAAATAACTCAGTGTATCCATCAGAAAATGCTTTGGAACTAGAGAAAACAGATTAGATAGATGATAGATGATGGATTGGATGGATAGATAGACAGGCAGGCAGACAGATACTGACTGACTGACAGACAAAGATGGTCAACCCCACACACTCAGTTGCTTTTTCTTCCAAAGGCAGCACGTTAACTACCCGATCTAACCTCTGGTTACTGGTGAGGGTAAGCTTGAAAGAATGTTTCCTTAATGCAGTACTGTTTGGGCTTAAGAAACCCACTTCAATCTGCCTGCTGAGCACAGACACACTTAATATACTCTGAAGCCAAGCATTTCAACTTCCAGGTCATCCTTTGTGGTAGTCACTGGATAGCAGACCCTGAAACTCCGCCACAAACTTGAAAAGAATCTTCTCTGAGGCTTTAAAATGCTTTTGGTTAGTTATTGGGTTGTTGTTTTTTTCTGTGTCTTTCCATTTTCACTCATCTACGGCACTTTGTGATTCCAGAGGGAAAGAGGAGGCCCTTGAACAGGAGAAAGTGAGCAGGTACTACCTTCTGTTTATACTGCACTTTACTGTTGGCCAAGCATGATCACATGGCTTGCTGAGGCCTCCACCAAGCTCATTAGGTTTTTATTCCTATTTGAGATATCTTCAGTACACTATCCACAGGCTACAAAGATTATATTATAGAAGTGGAAACTGATTTTGAGAACTAAAGGGGCTTCTCCTAGGTAAGTGCTAGAGAGAAAAGAACTTGGGCTTCCAACTTTCTGTTCAGAATTCTTTCTACTGTACTAATGACTCTTAATTTGGGATGAGCAGGAAATCATAAATCCCTTAGAAAATTTGTTGACACTTGTACCCTCTCCTGCCTACAAAACAGCGTCACAAAGCACTCGGGCATAAAAGCATTATACAATCTTAGGGAGCCAAGAGACCCCTTTAAAGGCCATTCTTGGGAGTCAACAGAAATCAAATTAA